CCTCCTAGAAGAAAACATAGACAAAACATTATCTGACATACATCTCAAAAATGTTCTCCTAAGGCAGTCTACCCAAGCAATAGAAATAAAAGCAAGAATAAACAAATGAGACCTAATTAAACTTACCAGCTTCTGCACAGCAAAGGAAACCATAAGTAAAACAAAACAACAATCTATGGAATGAGAGAAAATTTTTCCAAATGAAACCCACAAAGGCTTGATCTCCAGAATATATAAGCAGCTCATACGACATAATAAGAAAAAAATAACAACCCAATCCAAAAATGGGCAGAAGACCTAAACAAGCAATTCTCCAAGGAAGAAATACAAACAATCAAAAGGCACATGAAAAAATGCTCAATATCACTAATTATCAGAGAAATGCAAATCAAAACTACAATGAGGTATCACCAACACCAGTCAGAATGGCCATCATTCAAAAGTCCACAAATGACAAATGCTGGAGAGACTGTGGAGTAAAGGGAACTCTCTCTCCTACACTGCTGGTGGGAATGCAGTTTGGTGCAGCCACTGTGGAAAACACTATGGAGATTCCTCAAAAGACTAGGAATAAAGAGAAGCAAGATGGTGGAGTAGAAAGATGCTTGTAGCTCACCCTCTCCCACAAATACACCAAAACTCACATCTATAGACCCACTCAGCCAACCAGAGCACCTACCAAACTCTGACAGAACATCGCCCTCTACAAAAGGCAAAGATGCCAAAAATCTGGTAGGAGAAAAGGAAAAAAGAAAGAAGAAAAAACAAAACAGCGTGGGGCCAGTCCTGCGGGGAGGGAGTGGCAAAGGAGGAATAGTGCTGATTCGCTGGGTCTCCCCTCTCCAATGGAGAGGCCAACAGGACAGAGGGGGAGCCTCCAAGGCTCAGATCTGCTCCGAGCACCCCTTGACCAACAGAACTAAGTTAAATGGGCACAGAGGGTCCCCACGACACCCAGCCCGAGACGCAAGCCAGCAGCTGGGGGCCGGGACAGGCCGCCTGAGCCAGGCGGAGGACTGGGGCAGCTGCACTGAGACGGCCCCGGGGGACTGCAAGGGGCTGCGTGCCACGGTTGGGAGGAGATACGGAGCAGAACAACCACGGTCCCCCATAAATTATGAAAAAAGCAAAGCAACATGGTTAGTGTGCCCTGGGGGGAGGAGCACCGCAGCCTTTGTGTCCTCAGACCCATGACGCTGTTACTGGAGCTTTGTGTGAGAAGAGAGGCGGGGCGCAGCCACAGCCACCATCTCCTCCTGTGTGCAATGCCCAGGCAGGGGCGGGGCCAAGCCCTGAATCCATATCTGGGGGCTCCGCAACCTCCTAGGCAGGACTGAGACTTGTTTACAGCCCAAGGCAGATAGGATCTTTCTGCCCTGGCACCTCAGAGAACTTGTGCCGCCAAGGCAAACAAGGAGCTGAGATTTGGCACAGAGCTGGGGCAGGGCTGTTCCACGGTCTTCCCCAAGCCTGCCTACGGAGCACTGACCCAAGGCAGAGCGGGCAGCTGCACAGAGCAGCGGACCAACAGGCGCCAGGAGAGGGCGGGCAGCCACCCGCCTTCCTGGCAGGAACGCAGCACCTTACCACGGTGCTGGGCAGAGTGCAGCATCTGACTGCGGCATAGGGAGGGGGAGTGACCCACCCACCCACCGGCCACAGTACCAGAGAGATATGAGCAAGATGAAGAAGAAGAGGAACCACTCCTAATTAAAAGATCAAGAGAAATCCCGTGAAAGCACAAGCAAGGGAATAGACATTGATGGCCTACTAGATCAAGATTTCAAAAAAGGAGTGATCAAAGTACTGAAGGAACTAAAAGAAATAGTCTTTAGAGTATAAAATATGTCAAAATTAAATAGAAGCTATAAAAAAGAACCAAGCAGAATTAGTGAACACATTGGCTGAGATAAGAGCTGAACTAAAGGCTGTGCAAAGCAGGCTAGATAATGCAGAGGAACGAATAAGTGACCTTAGAAGACAGGACAACAGAAAGCACCCAATCAGAACAGCTGAAAGAAAAACAAATGAAAAACAATGAAAACAATATAAGAGACCTATGGGATAATATAAAGCATGCCCATCTACACATAACAGGGGTCCCAGAAGGGGAAGAAAGAACAAAGGGGATTGAAAAGGTATTTGAAGAAATCGTGACTGATTTCTTCAATATACTTTCCAAAGTTAAAGAAGGAATCAGATATCCTAGTACAGGAGGCTCAGAGGGTCCCAAACAGGAAGAACCCAAACAGACCCACACCAAGACACACCATAATCCAGATGGCCAGAGTCAAGGACAAAGAAATGATCCTAAAGGCAGCAAAAGAAAAACAAAGAGTGAGTTACAAGGAAACCCCCATAAGGCTCTCAGCTGATTTCTCAACACAACCTCTACAGGCCAGAAGGGAGTGGCAAGATATATTCAAAGTCCTGAATGAAAAAAAGATGCAGCCTAGGATAGTCTATTCAGCAAGGCTGTCCTTTAGAATAGAAGGAGAGATAAAGAACTTCCCAGACAAGCAAAAACTAAGAGTTTAGCAACACTAAACTCATGCTAAAAGAAATATTTCTAAATAGAAAAGAAGCAAGATGCTACAAAAATGAGAAACTCATAACTGGAAAGGAGATAACTGCCATGAATTCCAAATAGAATAAACACAGAATTGTAAAAGAAGACATCTAAATCACTAAGAGTGGGAGAGGGAAGCAAGGAAAGCCACTGTGGAAAACAAGATGGAGATTCCTCAAAAGATTA